AAAAAAAAAAGAAAAAAATCGAGAAATAAAAGAGATTTCTTCTAGGAGCTGCAGTATTTAATATTCTGTCAGGGGTATTTCTAACAAAGCATATATTTATAGTAGAAAATTCTAAGTCTTTCGAAGTGTGGAACGTCTACAGCTATGATGGCTGTGTAGTTTATCGGCACCTACTCAGACAGAGAATGAGCTTCGACCAGGAGATTCCTTTGCGGCAATATCGACTTCGAAACGTCATTGAAATCGAACTACCCTTCGTCCATAGTTGAGCTTGGGGTCGTCGCATCCCTATGTGCCTGGAAATGGAGCAATTTATAAATGATGAAAAGAGGGCATGTCTTTGGACCTTCAGATCCCTTTGGAATTTCTCCAGAGGTACCATGAAGACAGTTAAGCCTAAGAGACAGAGTTGTAGGAACGGACCAGGAAATCTGGCGGAGGGACTGGAAAGGGAAGCGGAGCTCATCACTCGATCGGATGCAACAACGTAATGACATGCTTCCAAGAATGTTCGGAAGGTTGAGTGGGTGCTGTTTATCAAGCCCCAATTTCACTGAGAGACTACTTCACGTTCCCTATTCCATTTTTCATTTTACAGGTGGATTCTTTTCCTCTCTCTTCTCGTACTCTCTTTTCCCTTCTAGAAGTCTTTTCTTTTCTTCCATTTCACTCTTCGAAGTTAGGCCACACCTACTGAGTTTCTGCGGTATATTCACTCAAACAAGGACAGTCAGAACAAACAGAGTACTTCTGTAGACTCTCTAATCAAAACTACAGCCCAAGTAAGTCAGTAGCTACTTCCAAGACGCAAAGACAGGACACTCACCGCGAAATCCTCGATCTCGTTCCAGATCAATCTCCTCCACTCGTCTATATTTGTCGTCTCAACTCCTTCATCCAATTCCAACACTTCGGATGTCGGCTCATCGGAAGCATCATGATAAGCAGCCAAGTATTCATGCTCCATTGCTTCAGCTGCAGTTGGCCTAAACAAAAACAGTTTTGAACATTGGACCACTTTAAAAAAAAATTGTCAAAAGTGTAGCATGCCAGCAAACATCAAAAAATAAAAAAAAA